GGACAAGCTCAGAGATTGGCTGGATTTCATGCTCAGGGATTGGTTGGTTTCATGCTCAGGGATTGGTTGGTTTTCATGATGAGTTGGTCAGGGTCAATGGGAATTTCTTTTGCTCTGATTACAGGGCCACAGTATGTTTCTTTGGGTCTGGTTTCAGGGTCAGGGTGTATTTCTTTGGCTGGTTCTTTTACCATACAGTGTATACACTGGAATATAGTCCCAAGGAAACAAGCGACTAGCAGTGAAGGCAGTGAGGTCCAATCTTAGCTGGTGTGGGAGGAATGTAAGCACTGAGAATAGGTTGTGGGCAAGGCCTAGTAAGCAGACCCAGATTGGCTCTTAGAAGAAATTTGCCTTAAGGCAAGGCATTTCTGCTTATAGAACTGACCTCTACCCCAGACTGCTGAACACAGACTTCTTAGTCATTTTCTTTGGTTTTATCTATTTGTTTGTAAGAATCCTTGGGTGAAAACTGGGAAAGTGGCCTTCACATGCCACCCCATCACTATCTCCTTGTCAGTAGAGTGGGAAGGACTCTTCCCAGCAGCTGGGTGCTTATTCTCCAGAGCAGCGGTGGCAGGCTGTGGCTCTTCCCCATTTGTGTCTGACACTAGTGCTGATGGAGGAGACACTGGTGCTGATGGTGTAGAGGATGCCTGGCCTCCAGACCTGCCACTCTTTGTTCTTGAACGATGGAGAACTCCTTCATTTCTGAGGCTACACAGTTGCCTTATGCCTAGAGGTTTTGTCTTCAATCTCTCTTTGTTTGATGGGTTGAAGTTACCAGGCTGTACCTGGGATGAGAACAGAACTTCACCTGAAACAAGAGACCAAGCTATTCTGTATTTCTTTCTGGGCCCAACTTCTCTTGGATCAAGGAGTGGAACTGAAGATCTCTTTAGGGGAAATCCATAACTTAAGGATCAAAGCCATGGGTTGGACTCGAATATCTCTTGCCAACTTGGTGTTTGCATGGAGATGGCTCTTAACCACTGCCCGCTATGATGCTCAATCAGCATAGGCCCAGAGACTTATGTCTGGGCCTTTGTCTATCCTTTCAAAATAAGCCTTTTAGGAGCTGTCTGCACCAGATGTTCGCTGTGTTGGGTTGCCAGGAGGGTAAATTCTTTTCGTGACCTCACTTAATACTAGTCCTCAAATCCCAAGTGTCTGATCCAATGATGCTACGGGTTTCTGTGTAGATAAGAAAAGAAAATGCCTCAGTGAAAAGCTTATTAGTGGCTGGCTATACCTTAGGAGGAAAGTTGGGGTATCCTAACTGCCAAATAGTTTGATAGATTTGGGATCCAGTCATTGAATTACTCTCTTCTGCAGTGAGTTGTTTTCAGTTAGGGATTCTGAAGCACTGGTGAGCAGTGATCACCTTGGGACCATTGACTAGGAAATTCAACCAAAACACTACAAAGTCATCTGGCAGCCCTGGCCTTGGCTGTCTACTGTTACCAATTTAACTACATGGTAACAAGGATTATTGTGCCTGTTGTTCTTTTGGGTCTTGAAAATGTATCCCACCAATCCCATCTCTCATGGGCTTTAGACTTCCTGGATCTGTTTTAGGAAGTAGAGCAAGCTCACTCTCCACCCACATTCACACCATTCAGGTTCTTTTTCCTTGCTTTCCCCAATTTTATCTAACAACATACTTCCCAAGGAACGCAGGTGAGTTTAGGAGCAGGTCAAAGCACATACAGATGAAATTCATCAAACTGACACTGCACATCCAGCTGGGGCATCAGTGTTCATGAGGAAAATTGGTCTGTAATTTTCTTTCTTTGTTGAGTATTTATGTGGTTTGCATATCAGGGTGACTGTGGCCTCATAAAAAGACTTTGGCAATGTTTCTTCTGTTTCTATTTTGTGGAACCATTTGAGTGTTGATATTAGCTCTTCTTTGAAAGTGTGGTAGAATTCTTGGCTGAAACCATCTGGGGGCTGGGAGACTTTTAATGACCGCTAAGTTGTTCTTCTGATATTGATTTAACTTTGTTAAGTGATTCTATTGAGAAAATTGTTCATATCTTCTAGAGTTTCCAATTTTGTTTTTATTTTAGTGATTTTAGGATTTCAGTCCTCAATTTGATTGTTTCCTGCCTTCTCCTCGTCTTGGGCATGTTTGCTTCTTTTTGTTCTAGAGCTTTCGTTTGTGTTGTTAGATCACTAGTGTGAGATCTCTCTAGTTTCTTTATGAAGGCTCTTAATGCTCTGAACTTTCCTCTTAGAACTACTTCCATTTTGTCCCATATGTTTGAGTATGTTGTGCATTCATTTTCATTGAATTCTGCAAAGTTTTTTTTTATTTCTTCCTTGACCCAGTATTGATTCAGAAGCGAATTATTCAGTTTCCATGAGTTTGTAGACTTTCTGTTGTTCTTGAAATCCAGTTTTAATCTACAGTGGTCTGATAAAATACAGGAAGTTATGTCAATTTCCTTGCATCTGTTGAAACTTGCTTTGTGACTGAGTATTTGTGAAGTTTTGGAGAATGTTTCAAGAAGTGCTGAGAAGAAAGTAATTCTTTTGTGTTTGGTGAAATGTTCTGTAGATGTCTGGTAGGTCCATTTGAGTACTAACATCTGTTAGCTCCATTATTTCTGTTTAGCTGTTGTCTGGATGACCTGTCGATTGGTGAGAGTGGGGTATTGAAGTCACCCACAATAAATGTGTGAGGGTCGATAAATGATTTATGCTTTAGTAATGTTTCTTGTACAAATATTGGTGCCCTTGCATTTGGTGCATAGATATTAAATATTACAGTGCCCTCTTGGTGAATTTTTTTAAATATGAAATATCCTTCTCTATCTCTTTTGATTAATTTTAGTTTGAAGTCTATTCTGTTTGATATTGGAATAGCTGCATCAGCTTGCTTCTTGGGTACATTTGACTGGAAAACCTTTTTCCAACCCTTTACTGTATGGTAATGTCTATCTTTTGTGCTGAAGTGTGTTTCTTGCATGCAGCAAAAGGAAGAGATCATATTTTCCTGTTATTCTGTTAGCCTGTATCTTTTTATTGGAGAATTGGATCCAATGATGTTGAGAAATATTAATGAATAATGATTTTTAATTCCTGTTATCTTGGTGGTAGTGGCGGTGGGTACTCGTGCATGTGTGTGCACGCGCACTTGTAAGCATGTATGCACACATGCATACATATGTGTGTTTCTTTTCTTTGAGTTTTGTGTGAGGTTATTTATTGCCTGTGTTTTTGTGTGTGTAATTAATATTCTTGGGTTAGAGATTTCCTTCTAGTATCTTTTGTAGGGCTAGATTTTTGGACAGATATTGTTTAAATTTGACTTTGTCATAAAATATCTTGTTTTTTTTTATCTATTGTGATTGAAAATTATGCTGAGTATAGTAGTCTGGGCTGGCATCTGTGGTCTTTTAGAGTTTGCAAGATATCCATCCAGGGCCTTCTGACTTTTAGAGTCTCCATTGAGAAGCCAGGTGTAACTTTTTTATGTTACTTGGCCTTTTTTCTCTGCAGCTTTTAATATTCTTTCTTTGTTCTGTGTGTTTAGTGCTTTATTATATGTATAGGAACTTTTTTTCTGGTCCAATTTAATTTGTGTTCTCTAAGTAAGCTTCTTATATCTTTTTAGGGATGTCCTTCTTTAGGTTAGTAAAACTTTCTTTGATGATATTGTTGACTATATATTTCTGGGCCTTTGAGTTAGGATTCTTCTCTTTCTTCTGTTCCTACTATTCTTAGGTTGGGTCTTCTCATAGTGTCCCAGTTTTCCTGGGATTTTGTGTTAGGAAATTTTTAGATTAAACATTTTCTTTGACCAACGAATTTATTTTTTTGTCATGTCTTTAATGTCTGTAGTTCCTGTTTGCTTATCTAGATTTTTCCATTTCCAGATTTCCCTCTGCTTGTGGATTTTTCTTTTTGCTTCTAGTCCCATTTTCAGGAATTTGGGGTCTTGAACAGTTTCCTTCACCTGTTCATTTTTTCCCCTTGACTTTCTGGTTTTTTGTTTAAGGGATTTTCTTTCATTTCCTCTTTAAGGACCTCTGTCATCTTTGTAAAGTTTGTTTTAAGGGTGTTTCCTTGGCGGTTCACCTGCACTGGATTGTTCAGGTCTTACTGTTTGTTGTAGGATAGGCTGCGCTCTGGTGGTGACCCTGTTGTTGATTTTGTTTTTACACTGGCATTTAGTCATCTTGGTTTGGAATGATTATTGGTCTTGGTGCTGATTCCTGAGTTTGTCTTTGTTTTGGATGGGTGCTTTGTTCCTTGGTTTCTGTTCCCTCTCTGGTCCTCTGCCTGAAGTCTCCAGGAGTTCTAATGACTAGCAACTCTTCAGCTTCAACAGGGTGTCTCCAGTGGGGATTTCGTGGCCTAAGGGACCTCTGAATTTTGGGTACCAATATTGCCTCTGTGGTTCCAAGTATCTCTGTGGTCTCTAGGTTCTAGGTCTTGGGGATTCCTAGTACAGTATGGCTGCCACACTGCAGAAGATTTCCAGCAAAGTTGTGGCCTGGGATATGGAGTTCAGGGGTAAGGTGCTATCGGAGGCTGTTGAGCCAGCTTTAGGGAGTGTGAGCTGGCTGTGGGCAGTGTTTCACCTTGGATTAAGCAGAAATCTTCTGTTTAAGGTGTTTGCCAGAATATGGAGCCCAGGGGGAGGTGCTGCAGTCTGCAATTGTTGAGCAGGCTTTAATAAATGTTAGTGGACAGGTGATGTCTTACCTGGGGTTGCTAGGGCCACTTCTGGCCTCTGGTAAAGGAGCCAGAGGTGTGGGATGGAATATGAAGCCCAGCAGAGAGATACTATACTTAAAATATTTTTATTGAATTATTTTCCCTCCTTTTCTGTTGAGTGTGCTGAGTTCTATTTCTAACTGTTCTGTCAATCAATTCTCTTTGTGCTAACAGGCTGCATGGGCTATCAACAGTGCTTAATGATTTGTCCAGAGATCTTAGAGTTTAGATGCTATATGAAATACCTATCCGGATTTCCTAGGAGTCAATGGGTCAGATTTTATTCAGCAGGATCACATACTTTGTGTTTTATTGATGCTCTTGTGTTTCTTCAGCTATCAGCTTAGGGTCACAATGCAAACAAAGTTTAGACTTCAGGAGGCAATCAGTGTATACTTGATACTTCTCGATAGAACCGTTTTTCCTCTTGCCCCTGCTGTGATCATTTCAGTGTCTAATGACTACGGGTGTGACATATCACTTACCTTTCCTTTGACTAGCAGGGCCAATGGTAAATCTAAGTCTTAAGTTTTCATATTGTTCTGTTAATTCCACGTGTAGTGAGTAGCTAAATGGCCTCTGCACCCTGGACCAAGAGAACAGTGAGTGCAGTGCCCACGGCATAGCACAGTATGAACCAGGTTGGGCACTGCAGGCACCACAGCTCCACAGATATGAATGTGAGGACCTGCAAGCGCACAGAGAATATCCTGTCCTATTTGTGAGTGGGGAGTACTAAGATGTCCCGAGCATGAGATAAGTGCCCCAGCTCTCCTATCAGGTTAACTGGCTCCTTGGTGCCTGGCTTATAAAGGGGAAAAAAGCATACGTTTCACGGTGCGGCTCACAGGACACTGGTGAGAAGCATTTTAAAATGATCAGAGCATCTTCAGCATGGTATGACATCCACACAATAAGAACGTAGGCCTTGCCAGTCTGCCTCTCCTTTTTATTTGTCATTGTTAGCTTAGTTTTCAAAGTTTCTGGCTAAAGACAGAATTGAAAGTCTGACGATTTCCTGTATCTCTAATTTTTCAAAACCCCATTCATCAGAGAAATATCTGTTGGTTTGCAGACAACAAACACATGAAGATCTGTTAAGTATCATTCTCCTGCCTTCGTCAAAAGCATATTTTTAATCACATTTAATCACTAACTTCCTAACAGAAGTCAAAGGAAATAAAATATTTTTTTTGTCCAAAATACTGTTTTGTTTGACATATTATGTGAACTTTAAAATGTATATTATATATGAGGTCAAACTCTCAAAACAGAAGTGCCTTTCCTATCTCATGAAGGTCACAGAGTACGTTCGCAGGCTACCCTGAGGGCAAACCCGTGCACCAGCCTTCCCTCTCGCTCCTTCCATTCCAGAGGACCAACCAACCACGGGGCTGTGTGGCTTAAAGAGAAAAATGGAAGCTATCATTTTAAAAAGTGCTACAAGATGCGTCTATGCGGAGAACTGGAGTGAGTCCTTAAGGCAAGTGGCGTGTGACCGTCTGTAGGCTGTCCCGGGCAGCACCGCCGAATCCTGTACGCGTGGCTCCATCTGGGAAAGTACTTAACTTGCACTTTTCTTCGGGTTTGGTTTTTTGGGGGCGCTTCTAGCTTTGACGTTCTTCTTAGGACTGGCAGCTTTGGGAACGGGTGGCTTTCCCTTCGGCTTGGGGGGATTACTGCGACTGGTGCGGCTGGCTGTTCGCTTCTTGTCCTGAACTGTCCTCTGCTGTTCACGGAGTCTCTCTTCCCACTGCTGGGAGGCAATTTGTAGATGTAACTATCAAATACACGTCACCCTTTTATGCGCGTAACTGATACAAGAACGGGCCCAGGAGGTTTTGCATTAGCGCGGTTACACTGTAATATTGCGGCCATTACTGTGCATTCCCTCGGTTGGGCACTTAGGCTTCCATGACTGGAAAGAGCTCCGTATGCAAATACTCAACCCATTTCTTTGAAACTCACACAGGTCTTCTCGGCATCATTGTCACAACCAGTAAACAAGTACGTAGATAATATTTGCAGAGGTCCGTAGCCGCTAAAGTCCTTGCCAGAATTCAAAGTCCTCCAACTGTTTCTATAGCTCATGCCCCTACCTGTGTGCTTCTAATGGCCAGCCTCAGAATAAAGACTCTCTATACAACAAAGCATTCTAAAATAGTGCTGCTGTCACGAAAAAGCAGAAATTTATGTAGCTTCCCGGCAAAGCCGGTTATTTACTGCATTGTAGGAATTACTATATCCAAAAGAAAACAAAATTAGTGATTCCCCCTTTTCCCTGGATCTTCCAAGCCCCCATGTACACAATGCTGACCATGCACAGCACTGTGCTCTCTAGATAGATGCTGCAACTTTTGTTGTATATATGCCCCTATGGTAAAGTTTAACTAATATGTTAGGCACAGTAAAAGATAATGATATCAAGAATAAAATTGTTGCAGCCATTTACTATAATAAAAGTGGTCTCTCTCAGCATGTATTCTTTTGTATTGTATTGTTTTGTATTTTTGAACTGCAATGGCCTGCAGGAAGACAAACAAACAAACAAACAAAAACTAAAACATGAGACACAGAGAGGCAGATAAAGGAGAGCTATAGTAACTCACTAAAATGCCCAGACCACTGGGGAATTCGTCATCTTATGGATAATTCAGTTTCCCTGAGAGTAAAAGTTGTGGCAGGTATGTGCATGCATGCATGCATGCATGTATGTATGTATGTATTATTTTGGTGTGTATGTACACACATGTGTGAAGCACAGAGTCCAGAGGTTCAATTTTTTTCTTCATTGATTTTTCAATTATATTTTTGTCTTGGAAACTGGAAATGCAATTCTGTTAGAATATTCCCTCTCATTACTGTGCACATACCTGCTGAGTAACTCCCGAGTCTCTGATAGAGTTTTAGTCCAAGTCTAACACAATGATGTTTAGTTCTATTTTACAGACATACTCAGTGTTAAGCTGTTTTCTCCCTAAGTTATTTCTAACTTGCTTAGAATTTTTTAAATATCCAAACTGAAACTAGACAGGAATGATTTCATTTTTGAAACTAAAGTATAAATTCTATTTATTTTGAGGACCAAGGTAGATTTAAAAATTCCAAACCAGTTGCCACTTTTAATTGTAGATGATTTTCATCTGGGGTGGGGAGAATATTCTAACTCTAACGTAACTATCAATATGGGGGTGATACTACCATTAAAATTATGCATTTACCATAAATGAATTGCTTTTGCTTATGATTATTTAGAGACATAGCTTACATTATTTTAAATGCAGTATATTATGATTAGTTGTGTATAAATTTTAGAAGTATTTGCATATCTACACATATATGTTCATTTCAACACCAGTGAATACTGAATTTTTATTCTGTTTACTTTAGTAACGAAGTTGTAATACAATAAAAAAAGAAAAGTGCAGCCAGGCAGTGGTAGTGCACGCCTTTAATCTCAGCACTCAGGAGGCAGAGGCAGGCGGATCTCTGTGATTCTGAGGCCAGCCTGGTCTACAAGAGCTAGTTCCAGGACAGGCTCCAAAGCTACAGAGAAACCCTGCCTTGGAAAAAAAAAAGGAAAATACCTAATTAAACCTGGAAATAACCAGTGCCTTATATTGGTGCCTTATATTAGAGCACACTGCATCAACAGTGAAGTTGGATAATAGTTGCTGATAACAATTCTGAGTAAATTAGGTGTGATTCTCAACTGCAGATTCAAAACACAGGTGCTTTTGCCATTACTGGCTCTTGGGGAGAAGACATTGTAGAAAAATACCCGGTCTATAGAATTTTCTTACAGTTGTTTCTACCCATGCCCACCATGTTCTTAATTATACTTACTATGGACCTTCTGCTAAGTTGATCTCTCCATTTTTCAACTAAACAATTTTCAAGAAGCATCATCCTGGGGAAAAAAGTAAATTTCTTGGCAATTAAATTTATTTTTATAAAAGTAAAACACTTACCAAGGCATAAAATCATACTTGTTTTCACATAACTCTTATCCCCATAACCTGTGTGTCTACTATTAATAATTGATGGATTTTCCTTGTTCCTATATGTTTTTCTGAACACACTGCATATGTGAACCATTCTTTACATTTCTTTTCATTGTTATAGTTGTTCCCTGGGATGATTAGAAAACGTAAAATAAACTATAATTTATATATAGTACAACTATGGATACCTACTTAGCTATTCTCTGCTTCCATTTGTTTATATCACATCACTCACTCTTACTGTGTTGAATATGCTTGTACAGAATACTGTGCACTGGCTCACCGCTTCCATTAGACGGGTTCTGCTGGGCCAAACGGGCCTTTTATTATGTTTTTAGAGGTGGTACAATTGTTAATAGAACCAGCTTCTCTTGCAGAGGATCTGAGTTCAGTTCCTAGCACAACACAGAGGCCAACAATCAGCCGCTGACTCCAGTTCCAAAGGATGCAACGCCCTCTTCTGCTCCCCATGGGAATGGTACACATATGAAGCACAGACATGCATGCAGCAGAACAGCCACACACACAAAGTAAAAATAAGCAAATCTTTTAAAAAAGGGTTTTCAATAGAGTACCAATTATTTAAAATGTGGCCTCTTTTTCATCTAATTCACTAACATTAAAATACTAATTAAAAGTAGAATCTTCTGCTTATTTGAACTTGGAAAATACAAAGGTAAATTTTAATGTTTATTTACTGTTTATACTTAGAAATTTTCTTCGTAGGTTTATGCACACATTTATGCCTTGTGTTCTTAACACTTTAACTGGTAATTTTAGGGAATAATATCTCCATTTTCATCATATCCGTTACAGAGGCATGCCCTTTTCTGCTTGCATTTGTGACGATTGTGCACAACATTTCATCCAGTCACAATGTGCACTGACATTTTCCCATGCAATTCCTTGCACTGGTGTTGTGCTTATCTTGCATTTTATTTGCTGTATCAACCAATTTTGTCCTTTTGACCATGGGTTTTAAAATGTTCACCGATTTAATGCATTTTAAACGTGCTTCTTTTTTAAAGATTTATTAATTACATATTCCGTGTTCTGCTTGCATGTATCCCTGCAGGCCATAAGAGGGCACCAAATCTCATTACAGATGGTTGTGAGCATATGTGGTTGCTGGGAATTGAACTCAGGACCTTTGGAAGAGCAGGCAAAGCTCTTAACCACTGAGCCATCTCTCCAGTCAACATGCTTCTTAATACAGTGAAAAACAGACTATTTTTCTAAATAAATATATTTTTTAACTAATGCATTCATATGCTACTGTTTTATAACATTTCCATCATAAAATATTCTTGTATTTGTTATAATTGTTTTCAAGAATATCTCTATTAGCTGGGTCTGTTTCTCACAGGTCATAACTCCTGCTATTTGGAACTGAGACTGATGGAGGAAGGTTGTAAGTCTGAGGTCTGCCTGGGCTATAGAATGATCTCAAGGTCAGCCTATATGACAGTGTCTTAAAATATAAAGCAAACTGGGAGTTGAAGGCTTAACTATGTAATAGAGAACTTGGCTCACTGAGCACTCAAGGCCCTAGGTACACTCCTCAGCACTGAAGATAAATAAAATATTTTCCTTTGCTTTATTTGTATGTCTGTCTTTAAACTACATGGTTTCAAAAAGAGTAGTTTTATGCCAGCTCTGTATCGCTTCATAAGGTAGATCTCTAATTACTTTTAAAATCTTCTTTACAAAAATCCCAGCCATCTGAAAACAGTTGCACTGGATGAGTCTACAGTCCGCTCATGTGCTCAGAAAGAACTGAATGACTAATAAAACAGCAAGTCCTCAAATGAACCCTGCTTTGCTATGGCACATAGAAACATAATGCAGAGTCGAAGCACTGGCCACTGCTTGAGAGAAACAACTGTAAGGAGAAAGACAGCTTGAAAGCTGAGAACGCACAGTCCTATGACGGGGGAATCAACAACTGATGGAATACACACTGTGAACTGAAATTATGACATTTTCAAAGGATGCATTTGCTTTTTAAGTTTAGAGGAATGGAGTCCTGGGCTTAATCAAAAAGCAACATATAAGCATGAATGCCAGAGAGTGAAAAGTTGGGGGGGAGGGGCTTGTTATATAAAAAGGTGTGCTTTTCCTAGATAAAATTACTGTAAGTTACAGGTCTGTCATGCATGGGACAAGAACTGAAAAGTTCACCTCTGTATTCTAGGAAATGTACTGATGTATGAAAAAATGACTAGGGAGAGAACTGAGCAGATGAGCACTTCCCAGTAGAGATGTGTGTGTGTGTGTGTGTGTGTGTATTCAACTGTGCTTTGCTTTGTAATGACTGAATTTGACATATGTATTTTTTCAGATTCAGAAATAATCTTAAAGTTTCTATGTGTGCATGTGTGTGTGCAATGTTCTATGAAAGGGACTTGAAAGTGTACAGTAGGAAACACGTAGAACTTTAGCCTCTAAGCACTGGACACAACTTTAAAATTCAGACCTCTTCATGCTCTTACTGAGAATAATTTACTTGTTGATGTATTTTAAATCACCTAATGGATTCTGAAATAGGCTTTTAAAGGTTCTATTTAAATATTTTTCTAGATTTCTCTCATTCTATTACCTGGAAATTTAAAATATTCAGATATTGAATAAAATTATATTTAGGAAACAGCATCTCAAAAGAGACATCTACTAAAATGTTCTTTAAAAGACAACTGGCATTGTTTCGTTCTTTACAACCATGACAACTAAGTAAGATTCACGCTCCATGTGCAGTTCCCCTGCTCCCTGGAACCTACCTTGAACGCCACTCATAGCACATGATGAGGACATCTTGATGGGGCAGGATGTGTGGACACTGGCAGGAGGAATTCGTGATGAGGGGGACTTGGGTTCGAGGTATGGGTGAGGAAGACTTGAAGATCTCTTTCACATCCACCACGGTTGTTACTTCATTGCAACCACTCCTCTGGATGGCTTTTATTTTGGCATGAATAACTGCAATTTAAAACTCAAGTAACTGTTGTTATCGAAGTCTTTGGGGGAAGCCAGACAGTGCTTTAGGGTCGAATCCAGAGCCTCTCTTAAAGCGCTACTCCTGTAATTATGGTCATGTCCGAGCAGCCCCGGTGCATTCAGAAAGCCCACACTGCTAAGATGCAAAGCATCCTATTTTGCCAGCATTCTCTTGAAATTTGTGAATCACATCACAAAATGAAAGTGGACATCAGAAGGCCAGTATTAGCCTGGACTCACAGGTTACCCAAACTTGCATGTTTCTACTTTCCCTCTTATGAGTTGGAGGATGACCATATGACCTGATTTGGAAGGCAAGATAAAGCTTGTGTTCCTTCAGTCACTCATCTTATATTTGACTTTCTTTTTACAGAAAAACATTAGTCATAACTTCCAGGTCCCCACAGAATGCTGGCTTTTCTCTAACCACCAAAAAACCCTCCTACCATCTAGGTTGAACTCATTTCTGAATATTTAGACAGTCTGCGACCTAACGTGAACAGTGTCCAACTGTAAGGCATCTCTGAAAGCTGCGGTTCTCCGCTCATCCATGTCACAAACTGACGGTGAAGGCCCAGGGCGAATGGACATAAGATTGTTATTACAGGTGGACGTTCAGGTCATCCCCTTGGTCGAGTTTTAAGTTTCAGATTCGTTGGATCCTTGCTACTTAGTATTCTAGCGGAGTCGCTGATCAGCCCAACACAAGTCTGTTTTGAATTCCACTCTAGGAAGCTGGCCTAAGGAGGATCCAAACGTCTATCAACTGAGCAGTTCGTTGCCAAGGGGGAACTAAAATGTGGCACCCCAGAGATAATGATAGCAGAGGTTAGATAGCTCTGGGTAGACCCAGACAAGGAACAAAGCAGACAAGATTAAGACAACATCTTCATGGAACACATTTCAAGAAGAAAAAAAAAGCTACTCGGAAAAAAAAAAGAAATTTTCTGTTGCTGAGTTGTCCATATTGTTATTTGTGACTCTCAAATCGGACAGCTGAACTACGGGTTATTTTTCAGAGTTTTGTACCTCCCTACTTTCTTACATGGTAAATAATTGAAAGCTTCTTACTGAGACACAATTTCATTTAAAATATGAAAACCAAGATGACAAAGAAACTACTTTACCTGTTATTTCTTTGTTCTTGTTATTTTAGGAGAAATAATTTAAGAATTGCAACAAAAGATTAAATAACCCAAGTAGACACTCGATTTGTTTTTATTTTTTCTTCTTTTTGTGTGTGTGTGTGTGTGTGTGTGTGTGTGTGTGTGACATGTAGGTGAGTGCATGTACGTGCTGGTGCAAACAATTGAATTGCCTCAGATCTCAAGTACATATCTTAAAAGAACTAAATTTAATTGCAAGTGATGAGAGTAGAATTAAAAATACTTAAAACTTTTAAAATACCATGATTGATTTGTTTTTCCTTTGGAGGAAGTACTAAATTGTTTGTTCAAGTAAAAGAGAGGAGTGTTAAGTGTCTGTCGTTATGGATGAGGAAAAAGCCACAGAGTTAGCTCTTGGTCCTCTGACCTTAAGATAATCAAACCCTGCTGGGCACGCTCACCCTTCCTATAGTGACACAGCTGAGAAAGAGAAGAGGGGCCCCTCCCTGCCACTTTCTGCACAGCAGACACGGTCACTGAGACCATTTTTATGTGAGTGATTTATTTTGTTTTTTTCCTTTGATGTACCCAGAAGAGCAAGAAGCTTTATAGTTGTTGTTGAGAGTTCCAGAAGCCATATAATTAACAACCACAACAGCAAGAAAACCCATCGTTTCTCTTTCCTCGACTAGTACATTGATTCAGCCTGATGTGATTTCAGTGCCTTGGTGTGCCAAGTCCCCAGAGCAAATGGCGTTATCAGAAGACTTACCATAGCTGTAGTTTTTGCTCAGGTATGTTGCCAAAGTCGGCTTCACCTTTTTGCACTTGCACCGATCTAAAAGAGACATAAAATATATGGGAAGTGGGGAAGAGACATCACTCAGGGAAGAAAGCAGGGGGTGCCTGAGGTGGGGACTCACCAGGGCTCAGACGTTTACAATCAGCATCAAAAGGCCTCTCCTGCATCATCATGTCTGGTGTGATGTCTATCCACTTCACATCTGAAACACAAACAGGGCTCGGGGTGTAGTCAACGACTGTGTCCCCTAATCCAGATTGCATAAGGGATCCTCAGAGGCTATAAGCCAACACAAACGTCCAACACAATGTTACCACTGTAAAAAATACTGTGATTGTCACCTACTTTGCTCCTGACACTCAGGCTTAAGAAAGAAGTCTGTGAGTCAAGAATTTGCTGACTCAAGCAGAACTTGATGTGAATGAACATCCATGACACCGACCTGTATCAATCTCACCCACCCGAGCCATCCAATACTGTTGCTCCAATTTGGCAAGTTGGCCGTTCTCCTAGCAGAACAACCAGACTATTCCCGCGTTGCCACCTCTAACTGCCATGCAGAAACAATCCGAAGTTGCATTGCCCAAACTAAACATAACTCCCAGGCATTTATGAGATTTAAGCAGTTATCTAATTTAAATTTTTTTCTCATATTCTCAGTAAGACAGGAGTTTAAAGCAAGGCTCATAAACCACGCCAGCCCCCTTGATTCACATTCTGGACCGGGTCTCTTTTAATAGCTCCGGTCTGACTCAGGAGAAGCCTCTGTAAAATAATGCAACACTGTTCTCAGGTTTCATTCAAGATGTGAATTCCGAGTGCTCCTTCCAACAAAACCAGTAAAACAGCAGGGGTGGGAAGAGCAGGAAGTGACACAGTTGTCAGATTTGTCAATGTGCTGCCGTGCTGGGCTCAGTGACCACAACATAGAAGCAGAGTGGAGTTTATCCAATTTACAGGGCGACTACATTTACAAACTTTACTTCTCACGGGGACTGTGAACTATTATTGCTCTTTGAAAAAGAACTTCCACCCAGCACTAACTGAGTGTGTTAACCACCACATGGTGGGACTGATTCAAGCCTTAGGTAAGATGAAGGACAAGGGTTTAACACCATCTGTTTGCCTGACAATTGTTTCTGCATCTCCCTTAAATAAAAACGCCTAAATGGTTTACCCCCAAGCAGTCTTATTCCCTGTGTCCTTCAGGGAGCTCGGGCACATCTCCCTGCCTTGTGGAATCTCTGCAAAGTAATCTTCCCTACCTTCCACAGTCCTCAAGGCTCAGTGAACAGTGACAAGAACAGGTCAGCTGTACGTGAGGCCGCCTAGTTCTCACTTGATTGTGTCGACCCCTGGACTCTCTTGGCCTCCGGGGGTACCTCCTCTTGCCTTACCTTCTGGAAGGTCCGTGACTATAGCCTCGGGAGAGATGCACACTCCGCGGTCATAGACGGGTAGCTCGTCGCAGGCCAGGCTCTCTGGCCAGCTGTGGTTGTACATTTTCATGAGAGGTTCACAGTCATCGCGTGCGCGCTGGCACACAGACTTGCAGGGCTTAATGGGGTCGTGCAGGAACTCCAGGGTACAGATGGGTGCATACATGGCGCAGAGGAAGAAGCGCAGCACAGAGCTGCAGTTCACATCCACCAGCTCCTCGTACTGCTCGATGGCCAGGATGGCGTTCTCCTGCGTGCTGTGGTGCAGGTGGTTGGGCATTCGGGTGATGTTCCAGGGCATGTGCCGGCACATGGGAATGCGCACAGCCTCGCAGGGCGCGCCCCGCACGCCCAGCGCCAGGCGCAGCCACAGGCACAAAGCCCCCAGGATGGAGAGGAGCATGGCACTGTCCCCCCACGCTGCTGCTGGCAAGAAGGGCCCTTCTCTTCCAGTCCCCCTGATCTCCCTATCTCTTTACCTAGGAGCAGCGGGTGAGCTTTCCTGCAGGTCCCCACTAATGGATAGTTCTGGGGTTTGGCTGCCGATAGCCCCTGGGCGCAGAGAGCACCAGTAGCGCCAGCGTTCAACCTCCAGAGCACCGACCCGCGCCGGAAGCTCCAGTCTCGGACCCCGCAGCTCAGAGCGCAGCCGGCCACGGCCATTGCGGGACCCTATTTATCCAGACTCGTCCCCTGACGTGGGCTCAGCTGCCTTGGCAGCTGTGAGCGCAGAGTCGGCTCCCAACTTCGCTGCTCCACCCCCTGTCTCTCCTGCAGAAGCGGTGACATCATCTCTGCCGCTGGGCAGCCATTCCCCCAAAGTCCCTCCCTTTTTAGAGTGGCTAGTCCCTTTTTCTTCAGATCAAGAAAATGAACATCTTGTATTCAGTCATTTGGGACACTCGGTACAAGACACTGCAGGAAAGACTTTAAAGAGAGAAAAAAAAACCCTCTCTTTAAAGAAAAGGCTCAGTCGGCCTTAAAGTTTCCCTAAGTATAGAACTGGAGCCACGTGACCCTGCTATCGCCCTTTAATTTAGAAACTTTTGCTTTTCCTTTCCGGTAGGGGGCGAGAGTAGTGAGAGCAGTGTGGACCTTAGAAAGCCCAGCTAAGTAGGTGTTGGAACCAGCACCAAGGGACAGTTTATATAAGCCTCCCCGAGCCCGCCCCCGGTTGTGTGGGGTTTCTTGTTGCTGTTGTTGCTACTGAAGTTCTTCTGTGGCCTCTGGACTTAGTTCTGGCTCAAGTTTTACCAGCCATTTGGTTTGTGCGTGCTCCAGGATCTTAGAACTACCCAGGGATGCAAGAGCATCCTTGGGTTGGAGACGTTTCTCTGCTTGCTTCCTTTCTCTAAATACTAATTCTTGAGCCCAACAGGAGTGGAAGCCAGGAGAAAACAGAGCCAACTAGAGACACCACATTTTCCCAATCCAACAGTCTGGTCTTTTATAAACTATAGACTATTTTCCTTGAGTAAGAATCCACTAGCTTTGGAAAGCAAGTGTACGGGTTGGGTTTACTTTCTCTCTTATTTGCATGAGAAAGGCAGCAAAGTCAACACTGGTCTCACTATTCCCAGAAAAGAGGTGTTACTTATGTAAGCTTCAAGCAAATGTCTGCCAGTCAGACAGCGAGGCTTCTGGTGTAAATTTGCTATCTCCACGAACAAGAAGAAAACATGGTTCCTGGATCTTAATCTTTAAAGCTGTGGTTGAACTTGAAATCCAGACTTAAGGACGTTCTTTTGCCTCTTCAAAGCTGAGACTCATCAAGTTAGCTTAGCCATCTTAAATCTGGCTGAGGATTAAAGCAGCTGAACAAAATGGAGCAAAACAGAACACAACCACTTTGTCCTCCTTATTGGGTAAGGTGTGGGGACAAGTACTTTCAAGCCATTAATTCGCCTAAGCGTTCTGACACTGTTTGGATGCTGCCGCAGCATTCCTTCAGGCCAATCGAAATAGGTATTCTGAAAAAACATGGGATAAAACCGGACTTGCTGAACATGGTGGACAATGAGGACTACTGAGAACTCAAGAACAATGGCAATGGGTTTCTGATCCTACTGCACGTACTGGCTTTGTGGGAGCCTAGGCAGTTTGGATGCTCACCTTACTAGACCTGGATGGAGGTGGGCGGTCCTTGGACTTACCACAGGGCAGGGAACCCTGATTGCTCTTCGGGCTGATGAGGGAGGGGGACTTGATCGGGGGAGGGAGAGGGAAATAGGAGGCGGTGGCAGAGAGGAGGCAGAAATCTTTAAGAAAGAAAGAAAGAAAGAAAGAAAGAAAGAAAGAAAGAGGTATTCTGGTTTCCTACAGAATGGGTCTCTAGTTCCAGAGATGCCAAACCATGCCAGGAAAATATCAAGCACAGGGGGTGGCCCAAACAATATCTCAAGACTTTTTCAGTGGTGAAATCCCAAGTTTAAACCCTTCACTGAGCTACCAAGTTTTCATCAGGACTCCCCACCACTTTCCCATGAGCTGTCTGGGGACAGCCCCCTTGGGGAGGGCTCACTCTTAGGCAGCCAATTGGAACTTGTTACATATTAACTATGCAGGCTCTCACCACCTCACCTCAAGGTTTCATGGGCTTCCCTGATGTTATCTGATTGCCTATTCTTTAATAAAGAGAGACTGGGAATGTAGTTCAGTGGTAGAATACTTACGGAGCATGGGTTAGGCCCCAGGTTCTTCCCAACCCGGAAAGAACAAGAAGAGATGTTAAGACAAGCATTTGGGGCAGAGGGATAGAGACAGATCTTATTGATGAGCTGGCCCCTAGTTTACCCTCAGCCTGGGGGAAGCTGTTGTCAATGCTGCCTGCAACCCTATCAGGCCAACTGACAGTCGGTCCCTTGTGTTTTTTAGACTGTGTAATAGAGTGAAGGGACTCAGGAAACTGTCAAATGTTCTTTCTGTTTTCCTGCCTTCCAAAAAGGCTGTGATTCTAGTTCTAGCACTAAAGCCATTGTTTTCCAACTGAGTTATTCTCTGGGGTGACTCTCTGCTGGTCCCTCTGGGTTCCCTTCTCTTCCCTCCTAAATGCCTGCTGCTCTCCAGGACCCTTTCTCACTCCTAACTCTCCACTCTACCAGGTTTCCTCAACCGTGGTACTTCTGAATCTCAGGACTGTAGAGTTCTTTGGCAAATGTCCCCTGGAGAGGGGGAGGCTGGAACCATCTACCCACCCACCTCAAGTCATAGGAAGCCCTCTGATGGGGAACATCTTTCAGCCAATGGCCTTTGAAAGTCTGGACCAGATTGAGGTTTGACTTTGGATACCAAAAAGCAAGGTCCCGCTCTCTTAACCCTCTCTCCCCTCTCTCCACACCTGGATGTAGGACACCCTTTCCTGTTTTGTGACTTTCCTTTTTAATAGAGAAAAACCTTAGTATTCTCTATTTGGAGCTAATGTGGGATTATTTAATTCGCACCCCCCCCCCATTTGCTTTATCTGGCGCCCACGTGGGAAAGTGTCCACGTTTACCGGGGATCATGCTCCTGGTTTGCCAGCCTGGCTTGCCTCACCTGCTGGGGGGCCCATCTCGGGAGAGCTCACTCTTAGGCAGCCCTCACTCAGGAACACCCTCAACCACTTCCTACTTGCTCACTCCTCAACATATTTACTATTCAGTGCAAATGTAAATCAAACTGTAAAGCAAGGGCCTTTAAAAGAAAACGGTCTCCTCACGACTTGATTATATAGTATTAATCCTAACATTACTTAAACACAAACCCAATTTGTTCACACAGATTTAGACCCTAAGATACACAAACCTCTAGACTCGAAGCTTTGCCATGCAGGAAGAGAACAGTCTCACTGAATTGTGACTTTGAGGCAATGTAAAGGCCTCGAGACTGGGAACTGCCCCCGCGACCACTAGTGTCATTTCTTCAGGACCCATCACGACACTTAAAATTTGTTTTAAAAAACGAAACAACAACAAAAAACAGGTTGCAGTTTTGCCATAAACAAATTACAGAGGCCAGAGAAAGTGCTACACCTCTGCTTTTCTCCTGGACCCGGTAAGATCGCCCCACTGAGGCTTTGGGGGTCCAATGCTGCACCTCTTGGAGAAATGTGTCCCTGCTCAGCTCGTTCCCGCTTCTCCGCCCCAAACATTTTAAATCTCAATGCCCTTCAGGATGCTAGTGGCAACACTGCCGCTGCGTTTCCTGTTGGCAGCAGAGAGCAGTGAAAACAAGCTTTAGTAAGCAGCCGCCAGGGCAGAAAGAGCTCCTGGGTGATTCACGCGGCTTTCCCAGGCCGGCTTTCTGAGCCTCTGGAACGGAAAAGCGGGAGAGGCCACCGCTCCCGAGCCCGGCGTCCTGGAGCTCACCTTCCGCCCAGCGCGGAGAGAACGCGCAGCGCACCCAAGCCCGGTCTCCGCGCTCTCTTGGGCTCGGCTGATCCCGGGGCGGCTGATCGTGATGCACGCACACGCTCCCCGCCGGGTGGTCCGGGGGCCTCGGAGCACCTGGCTGCTGGGTGGCCTTTGGGTCTGGGCGCTGTGCGGCCTGTGCGGCCTGGGGACAGCAAGTTCACCGGGGACCCCTCAGCCTTGTCAGGCGCCCCAGCAGTGGGAGGGACGCCAGGTTCTGTACCAGCAGAGCAGCGGGCACAACAGCCGCGCCCTGCTGTCCTACGATGGGCTCAACCAGCGCGTGCGGGTGCTGGACGAGAGGAAGGCGCTGATCCCCTGCAAGAGGTAGGCAGCGTGGAAGGGCATGGCGGCGGCCAGGGGAAGCCAGGTCAAAGCGCTTGGCACCCCAGCTAGATCTCCAGCCGCGACTGGCTCCTCCCGACCCCCAAGAACTTTACAGGGACTCTTGGGGGCGGCGATGCAGAGGCAGGCAAAGAAAGGATTCACCAAGGGCAGGATGGAACAGCCAGACACCCAACGTAGCCCCAAGTCTTCACTGCTGAGTCAGGCTCCTGGCACCTGGAACCCCCTGCAGCCTAGGGCGTGTTTTTTCTAGAAGTCGCCTTCAAGGAAGACACAAAATATACTCTTAACAATTTTGTTTACAATTATAAAACTTGTGTGTGTGTGTGTGTGTGTGTGTGTGTCCATGTGGAGGCCAAGGGACAACTTACCAAGTCAGTTTTCTCCCTCCTTCCACCATGTGGCTCATAGGCCAGCACTGTTAAAAGAGAAGGGAAATGATTTCTAAAAGTCGTATACAAACTCCTTACCCCATTACAATATTAACATTTTTGTTTAAACCTTGAGGATTTTATCTTTTGGAAAAACTAGTTAAAACTCCCATTAGAGCAAGGTAATGTCACTTTAAAACTACCATTAGATACATGTATTAATACATGTTAATTGGGGTGCTAAACCTCTCATTAGAGTATATGTGCTAACTGCCACCTTAAAACTTCCGCTAGAGCATATGTACTCGGTGCCCCCTTAAATTCCAACTAGACACAAGTACTAGCATCTGAATCCTCCTTTCGCCTATCCTCTTGTCAATTTTTTAGTTGTTCCCTGTTTTTAATGACCACGCCAACTGCAAAATGGGAGGGCATGTTATCATACACATGTTCATACACATGCTCATATACACACATGTGCACATGCACGCAAAGACGCGCTTGACAGTGTATCTTTCCATTTTGTGATGACAGACGACACACTTTTCCTGGGGCGTCACCTTCTTTCTGGCCCCTTTAAGGCCCAGATTCTAATTTAAGATCACCACCTGTCTCCCTGCCCGCACTCTCTGCTGTCTTCCAGCATGCTTCATGTGGCCATGCTGGCG